GGAGAGATGGGCAAAGATATTACGGTAACACCAAAAGTTGGCTGAGAACTCTTAGTTCTTGAAAGCAAAACGTTTTGAAAGCGGTCATGGTATTTTTTACAAAATAATGAGAAACCTATTCTTTTTCTAAGATACGACATAAAATATTGAAATATTATTTCGCTTTGTCTAATGTACTGCTCGAATCTGTATTCAAAGAAAATCATAATTGAAATCTTAACTCTTTTAAAGCGAAAATTTATCTGCACAATTAGTCAAAAGACGTGAAGAAATGCAGCAGTTTATCGATAGATTACATAATACAGAAATACCGTAGTTTAATAACTGCATAATAGTGGAGAAAATTGGTAGCGCAAAATTTGGTCTTTTTCTATTTGTTGAACGAGCGCAAAACCATTATCCACATCTGGAGGCATATGTGTGTTTATCAGCGAAAACAGACACCGAAGATTTTCTTGATACTAGGTATAAACATTTGCTCACTCGATAGGCCTACTATGAGTGCCAAATTTGACGATTTATTTTATCACAACTATATTGGTGGTAAGAATATTGATGTGTGCGTAACGTTCAAAGCGTTCGCCATCTTCTTCCAAAGTACCGGTACTAATTATGCATTTTATGGTACTAATAATGTATAAAATTACAACAGCATATCCAATTAATTGATTTACGAGTCATTTACCTGCGTATATCGTGTTTTAGCTCTAAACTAGCAAACAATTTCTTGATAGAAACAATAATTTCTTTTCGTAGCTGCTTTTAATTGTTGTTGGGTTTTTTAATCAGGCACGTTTGTCACCGATACACCCTGATGTGAGACACCCTTCATGGTGAAAAGCCGTGTAAAGACATAACATAAGTGGATCATTGATCGTTCGTAAGAGTGCTCTTTGTGACGGAGATTTGCGGGTAGTTTTTGACAAAAGGGACGTCCTTGTTTGAACAAGTATCATACAAACTCATAATTCAATATTTAATTTCAACTTGTGAAAAATGGAAAATTGATAAGCACAGTTGCGCTACCACCCCCAGCCCCACCCCCCCCCCCCCCCGCTCGCCCCACGTGCACACAAACACATGTACACACACACACACACCATTCCATCGACCTCTCAAAACGGCTCCTTCTTTTAACAATTGCTCGAACTTTTCTTTGTTGTGAAATATCACTCGTAGTTTCACTGATCGTTTCTTTAAGTATAAAATAAGAAGGTTTTGATCAGTAGAAAAAGTTATCCCGCCATTGTGTGTGAGCACATCAGAGTCTGAGATCCGATTCTGTGATCAGTAGAAAAACGTTATCCCGCCATTGTATGTGAGCATATCAGAGTCTGAGATCCGATTCTCCGATTGTAGACATCTAAACCATAGACCAGCATAGACCAGAAAAACAACATCTATTCCGATCCTGACCAGCCATTCATACATGTACCTATTTAAAGAGGCGCCCGTCACCCATGTCTAGATTCTAGGTGCTTTGTTGGCCTCTTACTCCAGTATCAGTTTTTTTCTTTTTCTTTTTCTTTTCTTTTCTTTTTTTTTTTTTTGTTGTTGTTGTTGTCATTTTGTGCTCACGCATGCTTAATCTGTGATTTTTAACCTGGCATTTGCGTATACTTTTAGGGGGCCAGAAATAGAAGATTCTTGATCAATTTGTGTGCGTGCATAGGAAAATCAGTCACATCTGACCACGGGAGACAATTGAGATTTTGATTGCAATGTGTTCCCCACTCATTTCTGAGCATTTTGCAGCTTATTTGAGGTCAATACCTTGTTTCGTTCAAAAGTTATGGCAAAATATGTGAACTCACCCATAAAACTGACATTTTGAGAAAATTGTATTGAAAGTAGAGAATTAAAGAAAAATGGATTTTGTTGAATTCAGAGGCATCTTAAAGCCATTCCTAAACTAATTCAGACCTTACAAGTAAACTGCAAAATGTCAACACAGAAAACTGAAGAATTTTACTCATTTTCTTGCTGACCTCATTAACTTTCTGAGATAGCGTCATCTAGTATGTATTTGTTGTACACAGATTTTAGTAAAGCATAAAGAGCGGCCCTTACATATTCGACAATTCATCCGAATCTGCAAAATAAAATCAGAAAGTAGATTTTTTTTTAACGGACCAGAACGGACAACAGTATCAAAGCAGGTCAGTATACAACAATTAATGTATAGTCGAGCCTGCGCTAACGACCATTTGTCCAAGAAAAAAACTTTTACAAACGACCACTTCCCACTGCATCCTTACGTGGGGGGGTTTTTCCACTACTGTAATGACACTATCCAAAAGGACCACCTGTCTAAGATAGCCACTTTTCTCCTCGAGAATGGATGGTCGTCTTGGAAAGTTATTCTTTGCTTAAACTTTCTCAGTGTCACAAATTTCTCAACAGTTTAAACTAGGACCCCAAATGACCTCTACAATTTGCATTGCACAAGATAACCTTCTTTGTTTGAGTGTTTTTCGTCACACAATATTCCCTTATCATACCGCTCATATGACCTTAGCAGTTGCGAGCGCCGTAAAACCCTATACTACTACTACTACTACTACCTTAACATACAATTATTGACAGTTCAGGAGAATCGATAATGGTTATGGCGTTCATTCGTCCAACCCATGCAGTGCGTGATGATTTTGTAGCACGCTTGAACATGCAGTGAAGGGAAAGTAAAAAGTAAAAAAGAAGTTCTCGAAGACTACACAGAGAAGGACAGCTATAATATTGTTTTAGATTGTAGAAGACTTAACAGAAGTGACTGTCCCTGTGAGTTGAAAGAATATGATATTTTATAAGAATGTCTATGAGGTTCTTAAATAGTAGTATCAGCATCATGGCGAACAAATCCCAATTCGCACCAGAATGGGTATTCAAGATGGGAGCAGACACACAGGTGTTTGAAAACTCTGAGCCTAACGAGCTAGTGAGCCGAGAGTTCAGGGATGTGTGTGAACAGAGCTTACAGGTATTCATTTTATTCATTAACGTCTTCGGCGTGTTCACCAACGGAATCAACATCCGGGTGTTCATCAGACAGGGGATAGCCTCAGACACCACCACCATCGGCCTCTCCGCTCTAGCCTTGTCGGACCTCTTGGGCTGTTTCTTCATGATTCCCGCCTCCCTGTGCTACGTCATCAAGTTTCTCGACTACACAGACTACCGGAACTGCGTGGCACTCACGTCTATGCCATGCCACTATCCGCACGTGATGTTCTCTCGAATCACCTGCTGGCTCACCGTGTACATCTCTGTGGAGCGCACGCTCTGTGTCATGATGCCCCTGAAGGTCAGGTTTCTTCTGAGACCAAAGGTGGCGAGGAACGTAGTTTCTTTCGTCTTCTTCTTCTTCGTCGTATTTCACATCCCATTTGCCGCAAATACCAGGATAGTCTTGGAATTTGACCCGGCATTTAACCAAAGCATGGCAGTAAACCGTGAAACCAAATCTGGTCAATTGTTTTTCTATATCAACAGCTTGTTAGGCACGACAATACTGTCAACTGTTGCCATGTTGATCGTTGCCGTGACAACGTCCGTGATGCTGTACAAACTGAAAACCACTCAGAAGTGGAGGAAATCAGTCTCCTCAGTATCCACCAAGTCCGCCTCCTCATCCTCGAAAGAGCACGAAGTCTTTCAGACGGTTACCATGGTGACGGCCATCTACCTGGTCTGCCTGGTCGGAGGACACACGCCAGGATTTGCCACGCTTTTCTTTCCAGGGGTCTCGTTGTCTGGGCTCAACAAAAATCTGTTCCTCGTCATGTACACCTTCAAGTTTTTCTTCGATGCCGTCAATTCTTCTGTGAATTTTATCTTCTACATCCGGATCAGCAGCAGGTTCAAAGCTGCCTTCAATTCTATTTATAACCATAACCCCCGTGATATGGGAACTGCTCCTTGACACAGATGCTGGACTAAAAAACTGGTGAGCTGTAGGTTGTACACAGCTGATTGACTATTCATATTTGACTATTATGTTTCTTTTCAATTCGCTGTTTTATTGCCCCTCACCGTTATGCCAAAATGAATTTAAGAAGTAAAGTTTGGTGTTTTACCCAATTTTGGTAGACATCTTTAAAACTCAATATTTCTAGAACGCGTTTATTGATTGTCTTCATATTTACAAAATCGAACTCGGCTTGGTTGAATTGTACTTGTTTGAATTTTTGTTGTAATTAATTTCGAGATGACTGAGTCATTGCCCTTAAAGTGGGTTCTATTTTCTTTAGACACTCTCTATTAACGACAGGTGAATGCATTTTCATCAAAAGCATAAGCCAATTGAACAGGCTATAGGATTGTACCAATGACTCCGTGGCCCTAAAATTTGAGGGCCCAATTTCACCACGTCATTTCACATAAATTTTGTAATTTATCTTCTACCTTTCGACATCGCTGAAATCTGACGCAGCCCACGGTTGTAGAATGGGCCACTCTGCCACGTTGACAGATGGGCAGCTAGACAATGTTTTAGTCTTACCCTACAGGGTGATTTTTTACAAAAACCTGAAGCGATTTTATAACTCATTGCTTCAGTTTTCAGGCATCGCTAAGATACTTTAGAATAGCTGTGCCCCAGGGATGGATTGGTCGGAAAGGGGCTCAAGACATTGCTCGCCATAATTTAGATCAAACCCTGTCCGTACGCCAGGGGTCATTTTGTACCCCAGGGGTTGTATTCTTCACATTTTAGAATACTTCTAGCGCGAAGATCTCTTTGACACTGTCAGTATTTCTTTTTAAAAAAATCATTTTGACAGACTGCTATGCGAAGCGCACGGATCAGATTAACGAGTACATTTCCTCTTTGGAAATTAGGGGCACGGAGTTCCCCACGTCGTATGGGTACAAGAGTAATACACGACGTACGGATAGGGTTAAGAGGCAGCTCGGAATGGGACAGACAGTCAGGGTCAGAAGCCTGTCCCCTAATTGATCTAAATTATGTCTATGGGGGCGTAAAACACAGACGGGAAAAAAGGAAGAGAGAACCATTTTGTTTTGCTTTTACGTAAGTACCAAGTGACATCTTCTTTCTTTCTTTCGTTCATCTCTAAATAGACACCCCTGTCTCTACTGCAAAGGCTGCTGTTAATCGCAGGTCCTCTCTAAGCCCCCATAGTTTTAGTTTTTCTGCCTTGGGTTAGATCATTATGTCCTTCTAAGTGCATCCTAGCAGAAAGACCGAGATACTCGATGGAGATTTGTCCCCACCCGGGATTCGAACTCGGGTCTCCAGCATGCTATCGATATCGAAGCGCCTTACTACTTCACCACAGACTCCTGTTCATACTTGTTTGAGGTACGAGGGGGAAAAAAGACACGTCTTTAAATGACGTCAGCTGAAGCTCCTTTCTATATTTCTGCGTGTTGGATGCCACTTTAGAGAGAGTCAGGTATGTCATATACAAGCTGTAGGAGCAACGGTTTTAGTCTCACCACCACTTCTTTTCACACGCTCCGCCCGTCACGAAAGGCTGGGAGGGGGGGGGGGGTAGGTAATCCCTGGTGAGTACTGCTTCATTACCATTGGTCTGACTTTTCTTTTAGTTTTAGTCAGTTTTGCTTTTCTTTTCAGTACAAAATGACAGGTGTCGTGTAAATAAAAATAAGTGTGCTTTTCTTCAACTCAGACATACACATCCAACCAAAACCGTCTACCTAAATGACAGTTTTTCCTTATCCACCAAGACGTGCCTTTCTTCCTCCTACCTCTCCTACTTCGACGTTTCCTCTTTCTCCTTCTGTTCTTTCTCCCCAAGCACTTTATCCTCACCCTCCTTAGTAAACTAGTAAACAAAAAATAGAGTGTGATGTCCCCACCTTAGTCACAGACAGGTCTTCTAGGTCATCTCCGATTGCCTCAAGAGTCTCAAGACATAGAAGTAAAAAAAGAATAGATCTAGGACAAATTTGTGCAGTTTTCAATAGCAGATTTATTTCTGTACAAAGATGATACAATACAAAGCAAAAACAAAATTCCAATCTCCAATAACTAATGTCTTTAGGTTTATTATGGTGACGTCAGTAATACAGGTAAAAGATTGAATCAAAAGACGACTCCACCATTTTATTTATAAAACAAAAGCATGACAACTCACCAAAAGCAAGTCCCACCATCACCCCCCCCCAAAAAAAAATAATACAAACCCGAAATAAAAAAGTTTCATGAGAATGCAAAATTTCATCTGTAGGCCTAACGCAAATTCGAATAGATACTTGAACGACTGAAGATATAACCGGAATATTTAGAAATGCACGTACAATGAGCTGCAATTTTATTATATTTAAGTACACGCCAAGAGCTGTGTCAGAACTCACTTTATTACATGCCTACACACTGGCCTGTCTTGTTTTGGTAAGTGTTTTTACGGCGCTCGCAACTGCATAAGGTCATATGAGCGCTGGCCTGTCTACATGTTTCTCTGTAATATTTGTTCGTAGAACATCAATGGTTCTTAGCTTACTGCTTGGCTTAGAATATGTATTATTTCATCAGCTTCCCCCTCGAATTATATCCCAATCCTCTTCGTTTCCTTTTTTTTTTAAAAGTTCTTTCAGTTGTCAGCAGCAGGATGCCCTCTTCCACACAAAAAGTTACCATCCCTGAAATCGTTATGAATCATGAAATGTGGGCACCGGGCGGGTACAAGATCACACTGAATTACATCTTTCCTACTCTAAAGGCAGAATTGAAAATAAATAGTTTTTTAACGGCATTATCCTTTATACTTCTTTCAAATTTAAAATTTAATTAAAAAGTCCAAGTGTGAGAATGTTTTGTGTTTTCTTTCCCTAATAATATGTAACTGTTATAGCAAACATAAACTATTTCAAACAAACGTGGAATAACTTATTCACACAATGATTATTACATATTGTGACGAAATATGTACCACATATCGATGTGTGTGCATGTGTGTGAGTATGCGTGCGTGGCATGCGTGCGTGCGTGCGTGCGCGCGCGCGTGTGTGTGTGTGTATATGTGTGTGTGTGTGTGTGTGTGTGTGCGGTGTGTGGTGGGTGCGTGCATGCGTGCGTGCGTGCGTGCGTGCGTGCGCGTGTGCGCGTGTGCATGTGCATGTGTGTGTGTGTGTGTGTATGTGTGCGAGTGCGAGTGAACGTGTGCGTGCGTGTGTGTATGTGTGAGAAAGAGAGAGTTACTATTTTATCAAAGTACGAAAAATACCCTGAGATAAGATGATGAAGCCCTTCAATAGTTTTTACAGCAGCAAAAAAAAAAAAAAACATATGGGGAAATGGTCTCTGACGAATGAAATACGATCTAGAAAAAAACGTTGTGTTTTCCTGATAAATGGAATGTGCAAAGTAAGGGGACACTTAAACTGTTTCTGACAGCGGGGTTTACTGACACGACATGAAAAGGGGTTATCAAATTTCTAAGGTGGAGCACTTGGTCCAAATCCACCGACATCATTGGTCATTGTAACTTATAGGATTAACGCCCCTTTCAACACTCCATGGTTACTTAAGAGACAAGATCTCGGAAAGGACTGATCTATACAGGTGAAGAGTCTTAAACACTCCCTAAAACAATACAAATTCGGATCGCACCATTGAGGACTCGAACAGAAGCAGTCCGCTTCGTAGTTCAGAACATAATACTAAATAAACTAACGGCGAGTCCCATCTGGTTTTGGAGTGGGGAGGAAGAGCATACGAGAAACACTAGTTAAAGACATCGTCTACAAAAAAGGCCATTTTCAAACATCGCATAACAATAACAACAACAAAAAAGAGAGGCAAAGTAAGAAAGGAAATCATTCTGAAATACGACGTTTGTCTTTCTACTCATGAGATCTGGTTATACGAGGCGAGAGACGAAGACACGCGTGTTCAACGCGGCCTTCGTCCGGTAAAAATGTTACACTGTGTAGTATGGACATAAACATACAGTATTATTATTGCAGTGGGACATCATTGCTTGTAATACGTAAAATGATTCATTCCACAGGTGTCAAACTCAAGGCCCGAGAGCTGAATTCAACACATGTATATCAGGCCCGCGAGAGAATTTTAAGTAGTCCATCCTGGGAATGGCCAAAATATGTCACAAAAATTTGCTCCAATCACAAACGAACTTGTTGCCAAGAAAAGATGCCAAACATCTATCCACCTCTGACAAACTGGCATGTGAGTGAAAATAGATAGCGTAGATCTATGTCTTAATTTTTTTTCTCCAACTTTTGTCTTTTTTAATTCATATTATCTTTTTTAAAAAGATTTCGAATTCCACTGCCCAATGAGTGTTTATCCAGTTCAGTCCGTGACCTTAAGTATAATTTGAGTCTGGCCCTCTGAGCCATTGAGTTTGACACCCCTGGTTTATTCACAACCGGAAGCGAAAAGGACAATTTGCCCTGCCAAATGGGTCGTTTGGGGTGTTTAAAAATAGGTTAAATAAAAGGGGAAAATGTACGAAAACCAGCATCAACGCACAAGAACAAGAACACAAATTATGTAATTCTATTCCACTGCCAATTCTATTCCACTGCCAATTCTATTCCACGACCTGCTTTGGGTATTCCTAAAATGAATAAAATATTTTTTTAAACTCCACAACTTTTTGTGCGTTGTAAGATAATCACATCAGTTGATGTTCCAGAGCGCTTTAAAAAAACCTCCCCAAAACTCATAACTGTTTGCAGAGCGAAAGCGTTTGAATATAGAACCTCTGTCTGCAGATGTTTGTCTCGCTTGGTAACCATTTTATCTGAACATTGGCTACTGTAAATATTTATTTCTTCTTTTTCTACTGTCTCTAGTTAGAGTTCAGATAGAGACTATAGAAGGTTCTGCAACGTTCAACGAGCAGTGCCACTGAATTTTTCATCTAGGGCCTTTTCAACTACTACAACGTAGTGTCATTTGCCTTTCGGGCAACCAAAAAAAACGTATATTTTATGGTTACAGCTTAATTAAGCACAGAACATTCTCTGAAATCGCTGACATTCTTTTTTTTCTTTTTTTTTAAGTTCCTTGCTAGAGGGGGGAAAGTTCCTTGCTAGAGGGGGGACTTAATAATTTCTGGGTCCGCTGGATCTGCAGCGCCATATTGTGAAGAGACGCCGTTTTCCTCGGCCTTGAAGGAAGTAACTGCGGTCAATTCATCGTCCCCTTCGAATGCTGGGTTGTCCAAAGCGTATCGGCCCGTTCGGTTCTCGGCCTTCCCAGGTCCCCATTCCGGATGTGGCTTCATCGCTGCCCGGACACCCTGTGGAAAGTGAGAAAAAAAAATTAAACGGTATAGGTTGAACACCCCTATCAACACTGTTAGGTTATTTAAGAGGCGGAACCTCCGAGTTTAACGGTCATATCCCAAGCCAAGTGGGAAATAAATTCGTGTAAAGTGCCTTTCCCAAGGACACAACATCTGACCGAGCTGTGGCGATAAAGAAAACAGACGGAAGAATCTGCAGGAATAAGGAAGATAATGCTTCTTATCAACAAATCTCAAAATAGCGCACCCAGAATGAATTACTTCTTGACAAATTAATGATCGGCCACAATTTGAAATAAGGAGCAGGAAGCCCACATCCAAACCGGAAACGTTACTCTTCGTAATATGTAGGCCTATAAGTAAAGCCATTCCACCAAGGATGAATGCATATGGACATATCGGAGATATTGCGCTAGTGATGATAGATGTGCCTGTGTATATATGAGTGTGTGCTTATCTGTGTATATCTGTGTATGTGTGTCTGTATGTGCATCTGTATATGTACCTGAGTGTGTGTGTGTGTGTG